GTACTTATTAGTATTTGACGATTTGTAAGAACTAATTTAATCAGTCTAAGCAAATAAAGATATTATTATGTTTTGATTTTGCTTGAAGTGACCGGCTAGAGAACCAAGGTCGGATTATTTTTCAGATATCACCTATTAGTATTTGACGATTTGTAAGAACTAATTTAATCAGTCTAAGCAAATAAAGATATTATTATGTTTTGATTTTGCTTGAAGTGACCGGCTAGAGAACCAAGGTCGGATTATTTTTCAGATATCACCAGTACGAGCACAGGGTGATTTTGCCGAACAAAAATCCAGCACTGGGAGGGTGCTCCTCGCACAATGCTTATTAGGAATTTTAGCCAGGATAAGCTCGTGACATGTTCAAATTCAAATTCAAAAACGTTTATTGCATGTCACATTACAATTTATATGTTGTTGCAAAATAGAAGTATACATGTTCGATGCACTTAGCACATTTTGTCATACTTATTAAGCTTCTTGATTTGCAAAAAACATTACTTATGTCACTTCCAGGACACCACGTACTACCGCAACCACGCACTACAAAATTTTGCACCAATTCTTGTGATAAAACAATGATTATTTCCTGTAAACAATCTCAAACGAAATTAACTGCTTAATAAACAAAATAGTAAACAACCGCCATGATGGGCCGGATTGGGCCGATGTTGCCACATGGTACCGATTACCCAGGAATTGGGATTGTAATTCCCTGATTCGCCAACACATTAAGCCCAAATGGCCGACAATTTTGTGATTTTTTATTTAACTAGGTAATCTTAGTTTCAAATATTAATTATTTATTTGTTTAACTTCTGATTTGGTTAGTGAATTGGCTATTTCGAAGAATTTACAAGGAGATTTAAATCAGAAGATAGCAATACTACAGTTCACACTAAAAAGAGAGGTAGGGCCGCAGAGAGCGAGATAGATATAAGTAGGTATTTGACTCAAGTTTTTGTTCCAACTCTGCCCTCCATTTTTATCTTTAGCTTCATGGATCCAACCAAACCTAGCTCTAAGTATTACCAGTATTACCGTGTCTATGTCTATGTCTATGATGACCCAAGACCCAATCAACGCGCAAAGCACCTGCAACAACGAGGCGAAAACGAATCCCTAGGACTTCTTGGCGGGAATCTGAAGCGTCATGTTAGCGGTTTTGTTTTATTTCCTCAAATTCGTGTTTGGGCTACTATTAATGTGTAATAATGGTGGATTATTAACCATTAAGTGTTCGTGAACGTGCATGAGTGTGGTGGGCAAGTGAAGCAAAACAGTGCATCGTGATTCTTCTGGTTCTCTCAAGTTGTCCATAGGAGGTATCAGTAAAGCACCACAACTTTATTGAGACTCAAAGGGTGGGAAGGGGTATCATCTATCATCCTTCATTATATCATTATAGGTGTACCAGAATCTCATGGCAAATGGGGAAAATAAACTTTGTTGAGTGCAATACTGGGGAAATTGGATTAAACGATCTTGATACTGTTTATTTTTTATTTATGACTAATATTAATGAACATGAAGTACGAATGCCTACCTATACATTTTATGTATGTGTATGAAGAATGTTGTTATACATCGGGTTTTTAACATAGGAACATGTCTTGAAAAATATGTAAACCGTATATATACATATTGCTGTAAATAATTTTATTAAGTATCATACTTAAAGGCACGGGGTCTCTATCAAAAGGAACTCTAGAGGTGGAATCTCCATTGGCGTGGGTTAGCGGGCAAGGAGATAATATTATGTTAGATGGTTGACAATCACTTTCCCTACAATTTAACGTTCCACCAAACTCAATACGCTTTCCAAGATAACCTCGTAGCCGCTTGCTCACACTTGACATGACACAACGGATTGACAGTTAACTTTTTCTGCGCATCAGTCGGTGTTACGTTTAGGAATCGCAAACCTTCCGTTCTACAGATTTATACAGATACCATAATATTAAGATTGTTACTATTAATCATCAATAATAATTTGCAGCATCTGTGTCCGGCGCCAACATACTTATAACTTATCACTTCATTCAGAACTAGAAAACGATTCTAAAAACTCCACTTGCATTTCTTGTTCTTCAAATAGATGATCAAGTTAAAGAGGTATTAATATAATATAAATCGCTTTTTCAGCATTTCAATTACTCAAACTTGCTTGATAAAATCTTTTTCAATTTTCTTTACATGGTCATAACATTTTCACCATTCCTCTGCACCAATGCATGATATACACCTGAAAACCCCGATAAAGCAGCTATTAGGTAAGAATAATATAAAAATAAACATAACCCTCCTTCTGACACAGTTAGGTAATAAACTAAATGTAGGTAAGTATCAAAACATTTCACTCCAACTTTCTGTCAACTCAACGACGCGCTTTAAAATCAAAGATTGACTTTGAATTATGCCTTATTTTACAATACACTTTGAAAACAATATGACTTGCTTGAGTTTTTTCGTCTTTTTCACAAAAATAACAAATAGGCATGAAGAGATTACAAAATTTCTACAGCGGCTGACAGATCTCGTGATTTACTTTGACAGGTGACAATAAAATCATAGGCAATGGCCATAAGAAAAACACACTTTTCCAATATTTTTGTTTGCCATGAGATTCTGGTACACCTATACTTGATCTCATTTTGTAACTTGTATCACCTATAAACTTGAAAATGGCACAAATCAAGTCGACCTCGACGTGTATTGCCAACATCATCAAAAAAGAAGAAGAAGAACGAATCCCTACTATAGTTCCAAAATACTGAACTGTCCTATGCATGACATTGACAGTGGGGCGCCACCGTCTATACCGGATCGCTGGTTCCAATTTTTGCCATGTTGGAAACGTAGCGCCCCACTGTCATTGAGTTTGGTGGGGGGTGGATCCGCCGATTTGATTCCGCGAGATTTATTTTACGTTTTTTGAAAAACTTTACAGGGATGCGTGCAAACTAGCTTAAACTGAAAGGTTAAGCAATGAGCTTTTTAGATCAGTGTGAGGCCCTTAGATTCAATCGTGATTTTAGAAGTAACAAGCGTCCAAATATTTTTTCACAAAATGGTAATGACGTTTTCCTAATGGTAATGATTTTATTAAAATGGTAATGATCTTATGTTAATGCTGTACCCCCAGTGAAAAGGGAGTTAAGTCGAAAATGGTGATTTTTGGGAAATCGCATTTGAAGTTAAAAAAAATCCTGCTTCATCGCTATTAGAGATAACTTGGTGAAATATTTTTAGGTGAAAGGTAATGTTAGATATAATTAGGCAGTGTGCCAGTTTGGGAAATATAGCATGTGGTTTTTTCGTAATTAAATAAAAACACAGTTATATCACCATGCACGACAACTTTACATTCGTGTAAAGTGATGTAATGGGACATAAATCATTTTACACCACACTGAATTGACCACACGCTATCAAGTGTAAAGTGATACGTTTTCCGCCATTTCCGTTGATAATTTTTTGTTTCTTCAATTTTAGAAAAAGTTGTAAAACAAACATAAGTAATTGCACTATGAGGAATCATTATTTCAGGTTATTTAGGGTAAATCGTCCAAAAATTGTTACTTATATCAATATACACCAATTTTTTGGTGAGAAAAAAAATGTGTAAACTGATCTAACTAACATAACAGCGATCTAAGTATCCAAATAATTATGTGTAAAGTGATATAAGTGGCGATTGTATAGGAATAAGGCTAGAATTTGAGACTGAATTCTAATTATTTACTCCTTAAATGTTTATTCTGATCTGAAACTACTATTTTATTAATTATTACACCATATACCATGAATAGCAACAATCACGGCAAAGGTCCTTGACAGTGTGCTTGACTCTCTACTAGATAAATCTTTAAAATCACATGATGCTCAATTCGGGTTTAAGCCTGGACTGTCGACCGAGAGCGCCATCCTTAGTCTTAAGCACACTGTCAGGTACTACACGGATCAGGGGACTCCCATTTACGCATGCTTCCTCGACCTCTCCAAGGCGTTCGATCTTGTGTCTTATGACATCCTTTGGGATAAGATGAGGAGGCAGGGCATCCCGTCAGAAGTATCACAAATATTCCTTTATTGGTATGCTAACCAGATTAACAGCGTAAGATGGGCTAACGTTTTTTCTGAGGAGTATGGGTTGCAGTGCGTGGTGAGACAGGGTGGGCTGACGTCTCCCAGGCTTTTCAACCTATACGTAAATGACCTCATTGTTGCCCTTTGTAGTATGCGTATCGGATGCTGGGTAGATGGTGTTTGTATCAACAACATAAGCTACGCTGATGATGTGGTACTGCTGGCGCCAACAATGGGGGCTCTCAGAAAGATGGTGGGTGTGTGTGAAGCGTATGCTAAATGCCATGGCTTATTGTATAATGTGAAGAAGAGCGAATACATGGTATTTAAGGCTGCCAGTAAATGTCCAAACGTGGTACCCGATCTCTTGCTGAATGGGGTAAAGTTAAACAGAGCCACTAAATTTAAATATCTCGGACACTACGTTACTGATGACCTTAAAGATCATGTTGATATCGAGAGGGAACGAAGGGCGCTGGCAGTAAGGTGTAATATGTTGGCTCGCAGGTTTGCCCGATGTAATGACCATGGTCAAGATCACTCTGTTTAAAGCATACTGTCAGAATCTATACACGGGAAACCTGTGGACCACGTACTCGCAGAAATCGCTTAGCGTCCTTCGGGTCCAATATAACAACGGTTTCAGGGTGCTGTTGGGCTTGCCTCACTTCTGCAGTGCTTCGGAAATGTTTGCTCAGTCGCATACTGACGGCTTCTTAGCTGTCCTATGCAAGAAGACTGCCTCGTTGCTCAGTAGGATACGGGTGAGCCCCAACA